ATACAGCGACAAGATGTGGCGAATTCGATCCTCGGCTTGCGTCATGTGATATGTTCTAGAGGTCTGGACACGAATGAATTCGGCCGGGGGGTTATCTTGTGTTAGCTTAATTAATATTGGCGGAGATTTGACGCTATCGTTCAACTCCGTCAATATTCAACATGTGGTAATTTTTTTCAACATATTTTGAACGTTGAAGTTGTGATGGGTGCTAAATTCGCGGCATGTTCAATGTCCGGTTTAACTTCAATGTCAAAAACACGTGGGTGTTCAATGTCATATTTAACTTCAATGTCGAAAATATGTTGAATGTTTTGCATGTTCAATGCCAGATTTATCTTCAATGTCGAAAGCACGTAGGTGTTGAATGTCCTATTTAACTTCAATGTCGAAAATATGTTGAATGTTCTGCATGTTCAATGTCAGATTTATCTTCAATGTCGAAAGCACGTAGGTGCTGAATGTCCTATTTAACTTCAATGTCGAAAGCATGATATACATGAATATTGGCGGTGATATGACGCCATACAGAACAGCTGACCACATTAAAAACAATAATTGATAAACACATAAATCAGAAAAACGAAAAAATCTATGCATGCTTTGTGGACTTTAAAAAAGCCTTTGACTCTGTTTGACACGAAGGCCTATTTTTAAAACTGCTTGAAAACAAAATTGATGGTCATTTCTAACAACCTTATTAAAAGTCTATATTCAAGCTCTAAATGCACCGTAAAAGAAAGTAAAAGAAATCGAACTGAATTTTTCTCTTACTCCAAAGGAGTGCGTCAAGGGTGTATTTTGAGCCCCCTTTTATTGAATATCTATATAAACGAATTAGCAACATTATTTGATAATACAGCTGTCGATCCGTTTATACTACCAAATGGGACTAAACTGAGCTGCCTTCTATATGCCGATGACTTAATTTTACTGTCTCGATCAAAATTCGGCCTACAAAAATCTCTAGACGATCTCCATTGTTGGAGAAAAAAAGGACTTATGGAGATAAATTTGAAGAAAACACAAATAATGATATTTGAAAAAAGAAAAACAAGAAAAGCAAGACTAATTTTAATCTTGGAAATCGGAACATAAAAATCGTACAGAAATACTGTTACCTAGGAGTCAAACTAAATCACAATGGTAATTTTACTCTAGCTCTAAAACAACTTAGCGAAAAAGCCTTGCATGCTCTATACGGTATAAGAAGACAGCTCAATTTCAGCCATCTCAATCCCAAATATGCCATTAAAATATTTGATTCAATTATAACTCCTATCCTACTATACAACTCGGAAGTATGGGGGACATACGTGAAAAATGATTTCAACAATTGGGATAAATCACCAATGGAGAAAGTTCATCTTAAGTTCTGTAAAATTTACCTCGCTATCAGTAGGAAAGCAAGTAACATTGCCTCCAGAGCTGAGCTTGGAAAACTCCCTCTCATCATTAGCGTATTCAAAAGGGTCTTCAAATACATCACTCACTTAAACTCGCTTCCCCAAACAACCATTGCGAAGCAAGCTTTTCTAATCTCGAAAGATCTACACTCCAAGCAGAAAATATCTTTTTACGGAGATGCAATGGATACTATCAAAAATTTAAATCTAAATGAAGAAATCCTTAATTTAGAAGCCGTAAAGACAAAACATATTAAAACTATTACCAAAACCCTTGAGGAAAAATACTTAACATTTTCTACCTCCTCCGCAGGCCCTTTTTCCGGGCACATTTGCGGGCGGTGCAAATTTTTGCGGGCCACTTTTAGAACTTGAAGCGAAGCGCGAAGGGCCTGCCATATAATGTGTCGAAAATCGGGAATATGTGTCGAAAATCGGGAATCAAAAAAAATCTCTTTGAAATTTCGTCCATCATTAGTTCAAATTAATTTATCACGTAAGCTGGGTTAATTCTGGACTTGCTGACAAAAAATCAAATGGAAATACGGCAAATAAAGAAAGAAATCGATATACGACCGGCGTCATATTTGGACGAGAATGCAGAAAATACAGAGGAATCGGGAATCCAAAAAAATCTCTTTGAAATTTCGTCCATCATTAGTTCAAATTAATTTCTCACGTAAGCTGGATTAATTCTGGACTTGCTGACAAAAATATCAAATGGAAATACGGCAAATAAAGAAAGAAATCGATATACGACCGGCGTCATATTTATACGAGAACGCAGAAAATACAGAGAAATATTATTTAAGTTTAAAGTGCACCAAGATCTGCTGTTCATCCACATCCCACCATCCGCGACATGACGTCTTTTATCTTCTGGGCCTTCTGATTTGTTTCGAATTACATTCTGAAGAAATTTGATCCGCTGAAACATGAAACAGTATTTTTGGGCATATGACATATTGACATAAGTTATGCTGGTCGTTCGACCGCAGCAATGTCGATACTCTCAATATATCGTCTTTTGAAATGGACTTGGTATGTAGATTTTTGTGGTAATGGAGTTCTACATGCAGACATTGTGTTATTATCACTCAAAAGACAAAGAACAAGCGAACAATGAGACGCTATATTACTTCTATTTTAATACATTGTGAATGTATTTTTTAATATGCAAATATATTTTCAGTTTTTCACCATATCCATCTTTCAAATTGTGCTTTTACTGTTTCATGCAGACTGATGTTTGAATCATATCTAAAGTATTTGAAATGGCTTATCATAGGCTTAGTAGCAAAATATGTAGATGCATGTAATATCGTTGATGTTGTTATTGTTGTATTTGCATTGTATAAACACTTTATAAAACAGTCTCCATCGGCATCGAAAAGCGGTGGCTAGTTATAAGTACTTTTTAGTCTACCAAGACCACTGGATGCTATTTCTAAATATTATTTAGATCTATTAAATCAGTGCTGGTATGTATGTTGTATATTAAGTCATAATAGTAATTAGTAAAGTCAAAATGAAAATTTCGATTTATAGCACCCGCCATCTTGAAAACATTACTCGGCAGGCGCTCTCGCCTGTGACCCGCATTTTCCGAACCTGCCCGAAATGCTCCCTAAGCGCCTGCGGAGGAGGTAGTAACATTTTGGAAACATAAACTTGAAAATTCATCCAAACTGACTTTCTACTCAACATTCAAAACGGACCACAACCTCGAAATCTACCTAGTATTTATAAAAGATCCATACAAAAGAAAATATTTTCAAGACTTAGAGTCAGCAACCATGACCTCCAAAATGAGATCGGGCGCTATCAAAATATACCCCGTGAAGAACGCTTATGTAAAATCTGCAATTCAGGAGAGGTGGAAAATGAAACCCATCTCCTCCTCTCTTGCAAAGCCTATGAGCAATCTCGTGCAAACCTTCGAAGTTCATTAGAGAATGCTTCATCTGACGAGATTAATCTAAACTCTCAAACTCTATCAACGGACCTAATGCATGAAATCAGCTGATAGTGAAATCATAACCAAACTTTCAAAATTTGTTTATTTATGTTTCAAGCAAAGACTTAAATACCTTGAAACCAGGAATGCGGATTAGCAAAGTTGTAATAACCACCTTATTTGTAAATAGCATACTTGTCTTCTTTCTTTCCTCTTAATTTTTCTTAATATTGTATTAGTCTATTATAAATTATTACACAAAGAGTAATCTGTAATAGTCCTAGTTTATCATAGTTTCTTCTATATATTGTTTGTATTGCTTTAGCAATACTGTAAATTTATGGTCATGCTAATAAAGCTATTAATTACCATTACCATGAAAAATAGCACCTCCTCTGCACCCCCTCTGGCCAGAGCTAGGCCCCCCAGTAAATCCATCTCTGAGCTTTAGATTAACCCATTGTCTGCACTTTCCCATTGAAGAATAAAATTGTCTGATGTTAGACAGAGTGAAAGCAGGCACTCGCCTGCCAGGGATGAGACAACGAGAACTTGTTGCGGGCCCCTGACATTGTATGCTCTTACATGAAAAACCTAGATTTACTATATTTTAAACCAATGTATGTAAAGAGCAATTTTATTTGAACATGAACAAGGGAGATACATATAATTAGAGAATATGCAGATACATCATAAATTCATTTATTTATCAAATCATGGATCATGTCATGTGGCCAGTAAGTGTAACACAACTAGGCATATAAATATAATATATTAGAAAGAGGTTGTTACATGTGCCAACTGCTTTTCATATTTACATGATATTAAGGGGGTGAGGGAGTTAAAAAAAACCTGCAATTCCAATTTAACTATTCAACCAAGTTAAGCCTGTTTCACATATACCTACGGTACGTTGGCAGGCTATTGTCGTTAGAAGCTCAACCAAATAATTCACAAAAGAATGTATGCATCAACAGCTGTAAACAATGATAGTGCAGGCATATGTAAACCAAGCTTATAATTTATTAAGATGCCAACAAAATCTTGATGTTCGTAGTAATCAAATTTCTGTATTCGATATTTCTCTCCGATCACTTATTGAAATGGTTGCTTCAACAGAAAGATCTTTTCCTTCTATATATTAATTCGCTGAGCATGTTGCCAAATGCCTGAGGATTTGACTAAAATTAGTGAAATATAATCAAAATTTCAACCCCTTAGACATGTCAAAATATTATTCTAGAAAACAATACAATTTAATATAATCCCTTTATTAAAAAAATTATACCTTTCGTATCGTTCCATTCTTCGTTTTGCGTTCGAAATTATGCCAGATAATTTCCTCAAATTGTTGTTCCTCGGCTGAACAATTGAGCGGAACTCTGAACATGCATACATTCAATACATTTTTTTTTAATTTGCCCAAATTACATAGTTATTTACATTTATTTCCTTTTGAGATACTTTCAGAGAGCTAGAGACCTTTGGAAACCTGTATAGGCTTTTATTTAAGGCCCCTATAGTTTTATACGAGTAAAAATTAAGTCACTAAAAATTCATAAAACCAGTATATTGTCAAAAGTACTGTCAAGTCTTAAGCCTTTAAATAAAGGACAGAACGGATACCTATAGTGCTATACTTACAAGTAGAATAACTATATAGATGCTCAAATATACAAGAGACAAATAGCAAGAGTAAGAAATTATGGCTATATTTACAGTGCTTAATTATTGAGTAGTATAGGTGCTTTTTAATTTTCTTTTTGAAGGTAGTATAAGATTTGATATT